TCATTTGTCTGTAGTTAGAGGTGAGGGCAGCGCAGCAAGTCAGACTTGAATAGGGGGTCTGTAGCCATGCCTGTTCATCATTTCCACGACCCAAGAAGTTTGAATACTTTTTTTCAACCTAGCATCGGCAGCGAGGTTTCGGGAGGCGGTTGTGTTCATAATAGCGGAAGGGGGGGTTGGTCATCTGGGACCGACTCTATCGCCCAGACGGGACGGCGCTTCTTGTTTCTCGGCGCTTTTTGTGGAGGAGATCATACATGTACACGCCCCATATCCAACTACAGATAGCGAAAGAGAAGCGATGGGAAGATTTGTCTATGAATGGATAGAAGCAATGAGCACATTTTCTCGTATCATGAAAGATCAGTGCTTTGTTGTTGAGAATGTATTCGTGATCTCTACCCAGTGCCTGCAGTGTTTTTGTCGTGTCTTGGTATCCCTTTTTCATACCTGACTGCGATACAATGTCACTAGTGGATGAAGCAATCCGAGTAGGTTACTTTATTGTGACGGCAATCATCATTGCGTCGCCTTGTGACAAGAACAGTTTGGAGATTAAGATGAAAAGCAAACGAGATGAAGAAAAAAAAACCCCCCATCGTTGTAGTGGCCAAAAAAAACAGACCATCAAAATCCTCTCTACCAGACAGACTACCTACCTTATCGTAGCTTCCTATTTGCCACTCAAACTACTGCAATCCACGTCACTAGATGAGCAACCCGCGTCAAATCCTTCAAACTAATGGGGAATCTGGTATTTGTGTCTAGCGGTTCTACCCCATAAAGAAGAAGGGCACGACCTATGAAGATGACAGTAATTACGCGATACAAACAGAATAGCTCGGTCTTCTTTCCCTCAACGTGTTCACCAATCCCTCTTCACCGGCACCCCACCACCACAACCACCACAACCCGAGACTAACTGTCCAGGACAGCAGACTTGAGATGAACCGCGAGTAGTCAGTCCCTTCCAGGTCCACATTTAGAAACACGCCTTTCCTCCAAACCGCCCAGTAACCCTCATTTCACGGCAACCCAACCCTTAGGAAGGAAAGGGCCAACTACGCAGTGTCAGCATTAGGCGCCCCCATGACGCCGCGACCAAACCACTCTGCCACCGTCGCAAACCGATCCTCGCTGCGCTCCAGCTCGGCCTTGAACAGGTCATGCTTCCCCGCCGTCTCAATCTGCGTCTTGCGCAGCGCGCGGATCGTCGCGTTATCGTTGGCGCACTGCGGACACTCGCCCTCGGTGCGGAGGCACCGCTGGTGGAAGCTGTGTTTGCAGAGGAAGTGCACCGCGGGCAAATCGAGAGGCGCCGTGCAGACGGCACAGCGCGTCGACTGGAATACGGCCGGCTTGGAGCCGAGGTCGGCGAGCTCCGCCCGCTTCTGTTCTGTCTCGCTGCGGAAAGCCGAGATGCGGCGCCGATTGGCCGCGATTTCCTTGCGCTCACGCTCAATCGTCTCGTGGAGGTAAGGTTTGATCATGCCCATTGTCGCGACACCGCCCGAGGAGCCGGACTGCCCGACAAGAGTCTGGATGACCTGCAACGGCGCCATGAGACCATCCTTGTCAATTTTGTTGAGAACGGCGGAAAGCTCCTCTGATCCGGCCTCTCGAAGAATTCGGGGGTCGGAAGTCAGATATGCCAGGGCTGCCGGGTACAGTTGTGGTTCTTCGGGCCCATACTTTCGAAGGGCTTTGATGGCCCCGCGAGTATCTTTGGCGGAGGTATATGATCGGAAAATGTCAAAGAGTAGGCCGGATTGCTCCTTGACCAAGGTTGTGCCGTCCTTGAAGTCAGAAAGGTGCGAAAGCAGCAGGACATTGGAGCTCTCCATCGGGATATCTTCTCCTTCGATGAGCTTCTTCGCCTTGCTTTCCCACTCTTCCCGATGTTGCTCCCCCTTCTTCTCATTTGACTTGTGTAAGTACATCTCAAAGAGTGTGGTGTAGAGGTCTGTCCTGTCGCTTTCCTTGAGACCTGTGTCTTCTAGGCATGCCTCCAGGAAGACAATGAACTCGTCTGGGTGGTCGATGAAGGACGAGAAAGCCGTCCTAGGAGGTGGTGGGGTGTATTTCGGCGCAGGAATGTCGTCAGGACTCAAGATGATTTGAGCATCGCCGTTGGTGGCTGTTCCATTGCCCGGCGTGGATGGGCTTTGGAGTGAAGATGTGTTCATGTATGGCAGAGGTAAAAAGTTGGAAAGGTTCTGGACGGCACTTGCTGCACCGGCCACCATGCCGCCGGCTACAACAGCCTCTCCATTGTCTTCAATCGGCACAAAGTGTAGCCTTGGACGGTACTTACCAGTGTAATAGTCCACGAAGACTGTGGTCGCATCCTTTGGGCAGTTCTCTATCAGGACTCTGGCATACTTCTTAAGGCAAGGGAATGCCTATTGAATCGTCAGAATTGGTCAAAATATTTGAGAAGCATGGCACTCACCACTTCCGGGTCTTGATGCCATATGAAATCAAGAGCCTCGTTATACAGCTTTGAGTCTTCTATCAGGATGTCCACGACCAGCTCGATTTCGCCGTGCTTCTTAGCCAGGTATGCAGCTTGTTCGTAGTAGCCTCCTTGCCTACACATGGTGATAGCAGTCTCGAGGTCAAACTTCAAATCACCGGGTGATTTGATGAATGCCTCCAGCTTGTCGATATCTTTGAGCTTGGCATAACAGTTCAGGAGTAGTGTAGTATGGTCGGATGTTGCCTTGCGATGTTCGTGTAATTGCTCAAGATACTGTATCAGGTTGTGTATCCTTTGGGTATCCAGGAACTGTGATTGTTAGTCTCCCTGCACTCCATTCCTTCCGGTTGTGAAAGCTTACCTTTCTGATGACCTGCGATGGCTCAGTAGTATCGATCGCCTTGATGTATTGGACCATGGCACCGTCGTAATCAGCTTTTTGATAGAGATGGTCGCCAAATCGGCGGAAGATGCCGCTTTGCTGCGTCGCATCCAGCCGTGACTTTTGCGCCAGTTCAATGGCCAAGGGGTACATGTTGCGCTGGTACAGCATTTCTAGGCGCTGTTGCAGTGATTTTTCGTGGTATCGGTTGACCTTTCCATCTTGTGTGAGAACGAACAGATCGCCCCATATTTGGAAGATGGCTTTGAATGGCGAGATCAGAGACTGGGTGTGGCCGAGCACTCTGAGGTCCGGCTCGAGGAGGACAAACGTTGATGCGTTGAAGAGCGCGTCCGCTGCTCCACCTCCACCTCCAAAGCGGCGCCGCATAGTGTCGGTGCCTTTGTCGGTCGTAGAAGCCGATGGTGGGCATACCAGGGCAACGTAATCCTGGTAGATCGAAACTAGTCTCTTCGGCGATTCGTACGCACGCGGCGCTCCCCTGCCTTCCAAGGTATAGGTGTAGATGGCATCCTCTCGGGCAACTACCACATCTCCTGTCTTCTTGTCAACCGTCATACAGTCAACATGACATCCCATGTCTTCCACAGTCTTGGGCGGGGAGCTGTGGCCCCTCCTCGAAATTCCAAGCTTCAGAATTCGGGCTGTTGTAGAGATGAATAGAGTTGTGACATCTTGAGAATCCGTCATAAGCTCCACGCCTGTGATAGGCTCTTCAGAATCGTGTACCGTCCTTTGCTTCGCCCCCAGGTCGTTGATCAAATCGCCTCGGATCAGGGTCACCGTGCCGTTCGCGAAGCCGACTGCTACTTGGGTAAGGTTGTCGAGAACGTCGATGGCCGAGATCTGGATCAGTAAGTGGTTAGATGATGCTTTGGAGATATCCGCTTGGGTTGTCCCTTACCGGAAATTGCTTCCTGCCATTGTTGATTTGCAAAGTGCTTAAACAAGTCGGCATGTTAGTCTTCTTCACCAGCTTGTCCAGAGCCCAGATCTTCAACACCGGCTCGCTGCTGAGGTCCTCCTACTCGGATGTCAGTTCGCACACTCTTCATCTCGCGGTGGTTACGTTCACCTACAGCAACCGTAACAAGCAGGCTTGTTCCCTCGATCTGGCGCATGTGTGTGATCGTCCCGAGCTCGTGAGCCTGGAAGCTCTTCACCACCTTCCAACTCGACCCGACGATTCGAACGTATCCATCGTAGCTACCGAGAAATAGACTGTCGGAGCCGGAGCAGACACTAGCGATCTCGTTGCTCTCGAAAAAGACTCGGGTCTCCTCGTCGGCGAGCCGGACCTGGCTGACGTCGAAGAAGTCGAATGCCTTCCACTTCAGTGGGGGTCGTTAGTGTACATCGGCTCGCAGAGAGCAGCTTGAGAGGGATTGGTAAACGAACCTGAAAGGCCATGGCTACATCTCCTAGCGACAGCAATTTGTGAGAAAGGCGAAGTCGGCAAGCGTGAGCGCAGCGGCGGTTGTTGATTGACGTCGGTGCCTCGCGCTCCAATGACGCTGCTGTGGGGAGCTTTGGTAGCTGTCGCTGCCGCTGCCGCTGTTCTCCGACCATGACCCACCCGCCTGTGGCAACCTCAATCTGCAGGACCAAAGCTTCCCGGCCTATGCCATGCGCCACAGAAAATGAGCTGTTCTTGTGTGCACCAGCCACACTTCTGACCATCAAGCAGGTCATGCTTGTGTTAATGAAGCATGTTAAGCATCTTGAGTGAGACGTCAAATCGAATATTCATATTTATAGGGTCAAGCTTAGGCTACAATTCAAGCAATTGAATTATATCTAGGTTCCTGTCGCGTTATGAGTGATTCAATACCGCTCCCGATTCCAAACCCAATGTCCAATAGCAAAGTGTACCATCTAACACTCAGTTGTAAATCGAGATGAGGTGCGCCTAGAAGCTGGGTTCATAACGTTGAAACCGTGATATCGATAACGAACATGTCCTTTTCCAAGCGAAGTTGAATTTTGTATGGTTTCTAGCACTAGCAAACCACCACATTTGCGCGAAGATAACGCTCCAATTGTTTATGTTTGACTGAAGTTGTCTGCTAACACGGCAAAAGCGCTGTTTCTAGACCCTGTGAATGTTTCCGTAACGTCTCAGGCTCTCGATGGGGCCTGATGCTTCACTCGGACCCTCATGTTGTCAACCGGCCGGGCGGTAATTTGTCTCGTCTGTGACATGTTAGTTAGGCGTGCTCTTGAATGTTTCTCGAAGCGGAAGTCTTACGTTGTAAAGCTGTGTGTTGGACCTGTACTGCCCCTTTTCGTTGATAATGGGGTGGTTCTTCTCATCCAGCGTAGCCTCCCCTAGACCGACCTTTTCAAAGACATACTTGCCCACAACACTAGCCAAAATCACCCTGGCCTCGATGTTGGCAAGCTCCTGTCCGATGCAGTTCCTAGGTCCCCTCTCGAAGGGTCTCCATGCCGCGGCAGGAATCTCGCTCTCGCCAGCTTTGCCGATGCCCATCTTCTCGTCGTCATTTGTCGCCATCGATGTGTCCGTATTCCCGAGCCATCGCTCAGGCACAAAATCATCTTTGGTGCTTCCGTAAACGTCAGGGTCTCGCTGGATTAGAGTGGCGCAGTTGTACAAAACCATCCCGTCGACGCAGAGGCTGCTATTGTCTGGTAACTGCAGGTGGAAGTTTGCGCCCGGGGGGCAAAGGCGCGCAGTTCCGGCTGGGGGGTACAGGCGCAGAATTTCCTTGATGACTGCCGAGGTGTAGGTCATCTTCTGGGTGATCTCCTCACCCCTGGCGAGTAGAGCTTCTCGGACGACTTCGGGGCTCAAGTCCTGACCAAAGAGGCTCTCCAGTTCGGCTCGAAGGCTCTTCATTGCTCGAGGCGTTCGTGACAACTCGTAAAAGGCCCATTGCAAGAGGATGCTGGTAGTGTCGTGCCCTGCGAACATGAAAGTCTTGAGTTGATCCTTTGTCCCGTCGATAATATCCTGTGTCAAGACTTGCGTGTCTTTCAAGCTGAGAGCCAGAATACTGCGGCTCGATGACCCCTTGTCTTGCTTCACATCGTTGAACTTGCGACGAATTACGTCCTCAAGGAAGACGTTGCAAGACTTGGCAAGTCGCCTTCGTTTCCTGCCCAGCTGAGGGTTCTCCCACCATTTGAGTATACCACTGCCCTCCCTATACGAGGTCAAGAACTCTTTATACCCCTTAATGAACTCTATCTGTTGATCTTCTGGAAGCTGTGCGTTAAGGTCAACATCCATCGTCACGGCACCTGTTTGTCAGTTTTTAGTGAGCTGTTGCTATAATTCGGAAATACAGAAACTTGATGACACTTACCAATGATATCAAAAGTAAGATTGGTGCACAGCGGCTCCAGCTCAAACTCTTCACCCGTACCAACGAGTTCGTCGAGTTTTGCGAGGAAAGTCTGAGTCTTTTCCAAGATCACTGGCATGAGACTCATGAGGTGCTGAGGAGCGAAGCCAGGGTTGAAGTGCTTTCTCATATCTTTCCATCCGGAGCCCTGCGGGAAGGACCACATTAAACCTTATTCTTACGGACGATGTTCGCATTCAAATTCTCTGAAAAGTGAACAAATGCGGAACATGCGAGGGAACTCCTTACTTGTGACATTACGATTGACTTCTCACCCAGCAGCGGTGTGAGATACATCATGGTGTCGGACTTCGGTGCGCTGTATGGCCACATTTTTGATTGCCTTGATACCTGTTCCGCGATTTCATGGCTTCGAATTACAAGCAAAGGCCGGCTGACTGGACGAAGGTCGAGAAGCATGATGGGAGGATTCCCGATTTCCTCGAGCATGTCTCCCATGGTAGGATCTGCGAAACCTAGATTAGCCTATACAACAGCACATATCGCCCTCGCTGACACGTACCGAGTTGAGAGTCCTTCTCATTGCGCTTCACATGATGTTCGTTTATGGCCTTGAGATGACCCCATACCACCGAAGGCTTAAGCTGAGGAAAATGAGCGTATTGCTTCAGCCGGCGGTAGCTGAGTGCTGAGTACAGGTACAACAGAAGTGCCGGTAGCGCCAAAAGCGCCACAAACAAAGGGCTTAACATGATCAAATATCACGGTCGAATATCACCAAGCGATCTCTGCCAGAAAGTCAAAGTAAGTTCGGATGCAGGCCCCCAGAGGCGGCTGAAAGCTGGCAACTGGGTGTGGTCATGGATATAAAGGGTGGTGGTTCCCATACCAGCCTGCATCGGATGTGTAAATTCCGTTTCAGCAGGAGCATGGATGAGCAGTCCACCCTTTCAGTCTGGAACCAGTGGCCGCCAGCGCGACCAGCGCTATGATGCCTCGACTTACCAGTAGGAGCGCGCCGATTCGTTTACTCGCTTGCCTCCAGGACGTACTTGGCTAGGGTAAGACACAAACATTGGGGAGAGCGGACCACAACCGATTTTCAGCTCCCCCATGATGCCTACTTCTTTGTAGTTCTTTCATTGGCTTGCGATTGTGAGTTCGAGGTTGTCCGCCCCAAATGGATGAAGAATGTAGCCAATCTCATGTCTCAGTGGCTCGCGTGGAATGACACATTGCGGGAAGGTTGTCCAGCCGAAGCCAAGAAATCCAGTCAGAACCTAGAATAGCGGGAAGATGCCGGATGGATAATTGCTCCTTCCCGGTACTTGGAGGCGTTGATCCCAAAACTACTCGACTATGGTTGGCTACATCCCTTGTATCCATGTGTTTGCCGCACGTTAGGGTGACATCACCCCGGTTCAGATGTGCAGGAGTAGCGGGGGCAGTCCGCTATGGTCTCCGCATTTCTCACACTCAAATAGTGCCGATTTCCCTGGGTTTCGCTTGTGAGAGCTTTTCCGAATGTCACGAATACGAACCATCGCAAACCTGAGACTTGAGCTAGTTAACCGCCACATCTAAGACTTCATATTCGATGATGAGCGATCCCTGTCGCCTATTGTATCTGAGAGAGCAAACGTAAGTAGTGTCCCTCCGTAGCGGAAGGTAGACCTATTTCATGGGTGATAAAGTAAGTTATCCGGCATATCTGAGCTTCAAGTATATGTGTTTTTCTTTTGGCGTTTTGACAAAGTTTCGCTTTCTCGTGCCTATAACCGAGGCAATGGCACCTCTCCTTGATCGACCACAAGCTATGTATCGCCAAGAGACTGAAGTGTTGAAACTACATCTCAGCTCTTGTAATGTCTCTCGATCATGAACACCTGTAGCTTTAAGTCGCTCAGTAGCTAGACGGCACGATTCCAAGCCTTCCGCCGTCTGTTACGAGCACATTGCCGTTGGTGTAAGCGCCTGCCCTGCTAACCAAGAACAACACCGCTCCAGCCATATCTTCTACGTCTCCCGCTCTCTCTTCCGGAATGGTAGTCTTGGGCCAACCCTCCTTGTGGGCCTCGACCGTTGCTGTTGTCATCTCACTCGGGTAGACTATGAATCGAGATTAGTAGATGATTTAAGACCCCGCCCCATGGACCCCGAGCCCAAATGAGGGCCCTACGTGGCGTCGGAAAGAAGTAGACTTACAACCAGGTGCAATCACGTTGGCGCGGATGTTGAATGGAACCAATGTGGTGCTTCTTTTATGAATGTTAGTAATCGTAAAGGCTCGGACAACTCGCTGGAGTCAGCCTACAATTGCTTGAACATATGCACTACAGCCGCCTTTGACGCTCCATAGGCGAAGCCCATCGGGTTGCGGTTGTACGCGCCAATGCTACTAGTCGCGATAACTTGGCTCCTTTGCTTGAAGTTGCTGCGCTTATTACCCTCATCGAGAAGTTCCAGGAATGCTGCGACCGTGAAGAACACGCCGGTGGTATTCACGGCAAAGGTCTCAGTGAAGTCCTTCTGTTCCCAGCCGAAGACAAACTCGCGGTACTGAGCAATGGTTGGATTAGGAGGCAAGCCCTTGAGAGCCGGTCCGCCGATCCCTGAGTTAGCGATGACGACGTTGACGTATCCATGGGCCTCCTTGATCTCTGCGACCGCTCGCTCGAGGTCGATCTTTGAAGTGATGTCACCCTGAATGGTGCGAATGTTGCTGTTTTTCTATTCGCATTTGGGGCACAAACATCAGTCATGATACTTCTTGAAGCTAGATGCCGTGCACAGCTGGGCTGGGCGATGGCTTTGGCTGGGCATCCCAAGAACATGAAATAGCTAGGCTCAATGCTCTCGCAGAGACTCACAGCTGTCTTTGCCGCCTGTTCCAAAGCCTCTTTCCGTCGGCCGATAATGTACACGATAGCGCCATTGGCCTCGAGGCCTTGTGCAATCATGAGACCGATGCCTAGTTCGAACTTTGAGCGAATGTTGAGAGTTGCCACTACGGTTGGTGAATGACGTACCAGTTCCCCCACCCGTGACTACGGCGATGAGGCCCTTGACGCCGAAAAGGTCGGCAGCGTTGAGATTTGGAGAAGCCATCTTGAGACGAAAAGGTAGATAGACGTTTACCGTAGAATTGATGTGAGTTAGCGACTGGGTATGTAGTTATTTGGTTGAAAACCGTGGAGACTCGAATAGTGTATTCAGGTGATTTAAGTAATGTCCGGCGGGGTTCGGTGGAATGACCCGCACGACCTATGGCGACATACTGCATCAAGTCCGTTATCCATCACATTGATCTGTTGCGAGTGGCTGCTGACTGCATGCAGTCTGATCCCCGATGTTCGGATGTTGCGCGGCCATGATTAGTGGACGGTTAGGTACTCGCTGGGCTTACATTAGGCTTTTGCATGTCGGGAAAACGGCAAGCTATGCTTCTAGTCCTTCTACATGCATTTCCCGGCACACCTTATTAATATCAAGGCATCGGACCATTCATGTACGTTTAACATGACTTTAGGGTAGATATACGCTCGTTGCGCCGATGGAGTGGTTACCGAGTCCACGAGGTCAAGTTGCACAAATTGCTTCAGACCATTTCTACAGCACTGGCATCTATGACTCTACTTCACTTCAACGCTGATGTCCGTGAATAATATTTTCGCATACTGTTGTTTACCTGAAGTCTCCAAGCCTAAAGCAAATCGAGACTTCTTAACAGCAAAATTTGATGGCTTGGATACAAAGAATCTAACTCCGGACTGAATGTGTCTTTCTTCAAGAATGGAAATTTCAACGAGACTTCTACAAGCATTCACCAGGGCTCTCCAACCAATCTTCTAGTCGTGCTCCATCTCTAGGCACAAACTTTGCCTGGAAACCTTTCGGTTTGGCAACGAACGAGAGTCCATCAAGCCCTTCGATCGGATCAATCTCTACATGGTCCTTACCATCTCCAGGCAAGATCTTGAATCGGGCGATCAAGTGCAAAAAGGCTGTATACAAGGCGCTGTGTGCGAGGTGAGACGCTACGCACATCCTTCCACCCATACCGAAGGCGAATTGATGCGCGTATTGGTCTGGTGCATCTGGAAGCCAACGCTCAGGGGCGAATACTTCGGGCTCCTTGAACAAGTCAGGATCTAACTTGGATGGTCAGTCTTAATATGACACTTCATCTGAGTTGCAGGTAAGTCACCTCTGTTACAGGACCAGCTGTTCAAGAAAACCAGAGTGTTGGCCGGGATCGTGGCGGATCCCCAAGTAGCATCAGCGTACGTTGCCTTTGGTAGCGCGAGCTTCAAAACGACAAAGTATCTCGAGATCTCTTTTGTCAGTGCATCTATGTAATCAACCTTCGTAGAAGCATATATGTTGGATGGTTGCTGGAGAACACCAGCATCTCGAATGGCGGCATATGCTTTGCCTTGAATATCAGGGCGGTGTGCAAGTAGAAGAATAGCCCAAGCCAAGGTAGGCTGGTTTGAGTCGGCGCCCTGGAACATGTCAGCGTAGTTCCATGATGAGCTTCCGGTGAAACCGAAAGACGAACTTACTGCCATCATACTGAGGCTCACACTGATCAACTCTTCTCGCGTGAGAGTTGCCGACTCAGGGTCCTTCAAGACAGCGCCCTGAATGCAGGGCTTATCTTTGTCCCACGCAATCTCGTCTTTGAGCCGGCTAAGGAGAACGTCGTTATATTCCAGTCTTCGACGGCCAATATCCTTTGCGTGACTCATCGGTGTGGATTGCAAACCCAACACACTGGCAATCGGCTCCCAGTATCGCAGCAAGGGTATGTAGTTGGTGTAGTTCTTTCCTGTATCTCGAAGTTTTGAGATTTCGGATTCGACATAAATTATCTCGGAAAACAGAGGATCATCCTCCAGGGACTTGACATTGGAGGCTCTTGTCCCATAGTTGAGCGTCAAACTGAGATTGAGGGAAAAGCGCCTGACAGCTGGACGGAAGTCAAGATCTACCGCACCATCACGACATTCTTCGTACAGGTTTTTGAGGAACTCCCGTGCCTCCAAGTTTAAAATGGGTCCGTAGCTTTCTACCCGTGGACGATTCAATGCCCCAGCTGCGAGCTTGCGGCGACGTTTGCAAGAGTCATCCCACGGACTAGTGCCGATGCTAGTAACGGCTTTGCTGACTTTTCCATGAAAAACATAAAAGGTTGGTCGAGAATTCATGGCATGTCGTTGTCCGAGAAAAAGCTGTTTGGCAGAATCCACCGTGTTGACGACAACAGCCGTGGTGTTTCCCAGCTGTATCTGGAATACGGGCCCATACTTCTTTGCCCAGACTCGGTATGTTTCTGCTGGTACTTGGTCTTGGTTCTGTTGCTATGTATTAGCTCCTTTCGTTGAGAACGGTGACTTAGGATGTAAAAATGTTCAGGTACCTGGAAAAGGTTGCCAATCACAGGCCAGCCATTGGGGCCAGGAAGATTTTTGATCCTCCCCCGATACCTTGCTATCTCATTTTGCAGTAAATAGCCCGCAATAAGAACAACAGAGAGAATTGTAGCTTGCTCTAAATGCGTGGTGAAGGTTGATTGCGAGAAAAGGTTTGTTGCGGTCATATTCAAGGTTTCAACATTCAAGATAGGAACCCATACAAAATATTAGCTCTGTTTGAGTTCTGAGGTTAACGAATGTGAGTTATCAAAGTTCTTTGGAGGAAAACATCTGATGACCTTCTTCTCTGATCTACGAGAAACAAACAATGACCATCGACCCCGCCATGTCGCAATATCCACATCTCGGCGGTCTTCTGCATCTATGCAGTCAGTGTTGGTCAAGAAGATTGCTATTGGTTCCATGGGCTGATATATGCGCCAATAGGGATTCATCATGCCCGAATCCCGTGAGTTTTGCTCAAGCGTAGCCTTGATTGCAAAGATGTATGGGGAGTTATGGGCCGGAAGGAATACTTTGTACCAATTTTCCAAAGAAAGCGACCAATAGTTGGAAAAAGAAGGCAATCACGTCAAATCTCTCATTCTCGACTACAATGGTATGAATGACGCCATTGACGGGGTGTATGACGGACTCTTAGATCTTCAAGAGCCGAACTCATAACGCTGCGAGGGCTGGATTACTATTGCTGGCTGCTTAAGATGTAATTCACTACGTTAATTCGAGCAACCTGAACTGACTTGGTGTCTAAAGCCCCAAGCCTCTTTTAAGACCATATTCCATTTAAATTACTTGCCTGACTCCTAGGGGCATCAAGTCCCGCACATTGGATGCTGAATTTCATTTGCTTCATTTGGTGTCAGTCTCTCAATCAATGCTATGCAAGTTTGGATGTTTGAGATACTCCGACTACTTAGCTTATATTCAAACTCCCCTACATCGGCTTGTTCTGCTGACTCTCACCATAACGCTGTTGAACTTCCAGGGTAATCAGATGTAGCAGAGTCAGCGAACGCAATTACTGAAGTCGACAGACATACTAGCATCACGTTGGAAGAGAGCGCGTATGTTCAAGGCAAAAGTAACGAAGTAGTACTCCGTAAGGCTGAATCGCCTGCCAGTGACAAATGGAGAAACACAAGTAAGTCATTCAGTTGGCTATTAGCTAAGATAATAATAGAAAACAAGAATGATTTAGTCAGCCAGACATGCGTCCGTCAGCACGGTCAGCAGGTTGCAGCCACTAAATCGGACATAGGCACGTTGAGCAAATCGTGACGTCTTATCCCCGAATTTTAATCACTTTATTCCACTGCAAGTCGGCGTGGGGCACGGCCTGGGCACGGATCGGACGATCAATGACGTCCACGTCCATTGCCTTGGGAAGTCGAGCCAGCACTACTAGAATCATTCTAGTGAGATGTGTGTGTAGGTATATAAAATAGAGGCACACTGATGCTCTAACTCAAAGCCATGTAAACAGAAGCAGTTATTAGAACATCAACCCCTTACTGCAGAACACCATCACAAAGTTAAGACTCACAAAATGGCACCCAAAGGACTCGCGATCATCATCGGTGCAGGACCAACTTCCGGCGCAGGGATCGCTCGCATTCTAGCCAGCCCTCAACATGGCAACTTGGCAGTTGCTCTACTTGCCAGAAACCCCGAAAACCTCCAGAATCTTGCGGCCGATCTACGCAAGTCTTCCGAAGGCATTCTCCACCCTTTCCCCACAGACACTGAGCCTGAAAACCTCCGGCGGACCTTCCAGCAAATCGCAGATCATGCCGATTTCAAAGACCTTAAGTTAAAGCTCGCCATATACCACGTCAAGAATGCTAGCAAGAAGCCATTTCTCGAAGAAACGCCAGAGGCTTTCAATGACAGCATAAGCACCTTCACAACCGGAGGCGTTGTCTTTGCGCAAGAAGCGTTGAAGCTCATGTACGCACAAAATGGAGGGCAGACGCTGCTTTCCGACACCGAGGGTGCAAAGAAGGGTACAATCATCTTCACGGGCACTTTGGGAGCCATGCGCACGAATCAGCAATACGCCGCCTATGGCGCATCTAGGGCGGCGGCGAGGATGGTAGCGCAGGCTATTGCGAAGGAGCACAGCAAATTTGGTGTGCACGTGGTTCATGCTATTGCCAATGGTGGAATCATCGATGAAGAGAACGAGAACACCAAGACTGGCAAGCGGATGCGCGCGGAAGATGTTGGAGAGTTGTATCTTTGGCTGTCGCAGCAGCCGAGCTCCCTCTGGACACACGAGTTGGATATGAGGCCAGCACAGGAGACTTTCTAAGATAGGAAGTCAAAAATGTTAGGAAAGCCTTTATTCCAGAGAAAAGTTTATTGACGTGACAGAAATCAAAGTACTCTAGTTGATGTTGGAAGCCTACCAAATTTCAAAACAAATCATTTGTAGATTCCGTTTCAGGAGGTCTCTAGATTCGAGGTTGTAGTGTGAGGTTGAGCTGCGTTCCAAGCGTTCTATACGTTCCAGACGACGTAATGGAAGCACACTACGTTGACATGTTGACTATGAGTCCGTTACATGATCTATAACACGCTGAAGATCGAATATACTCTGAAAACCCATTAGTTATATCTACACATTGCCTCGTGGCATCTTGGTCTGTAGTCCGACAACATTGCTTTTCTCTGACGCTAAGATGGATTTTTTAACAGATTTACTCCCGTCACACCATGTCACGACCCTGGGCCGGCGGTCTTTCCTCTGTTGAATAGCACTCAGCCACCATGGTGCCGTTCCCACCTCCCTGCCGTACCAAGTCGGTTTGGCTACCGTTGCGACTAACAATCTCGATTTTTGTCTCAATGGCGATGTTTGTATTCGTCTTGGTAGCCTTCCGACTCCGCATCGATTGCATGTGATGCGAGTCCCCGGCATTCATCCCACTGTAAGCATTGCCCGATCGATACCCGCTACGCTGAGTGCTTGCCAACAATTTCGGGAAGGCCTTTACGATGAGAGGTTTGAGAGCAGGTACAGAGGCGCAGGCTATGGCGACATTGATCTCTATACCAGACCATGTCGCAATGTGGACACCATCTCCTATTTATGCAGTGTTAGCGTTTGATGATTTCCTAGTTGCTTTCTGCCGGATCATCTCCAGGTGTAGTCTTACGTGATGTATCGGTAGATACGGAGATCTCGTAAAGAGAGTAAAGCCTAATCATAGAAGTAACGCAAACACTGTCGTGAAAGTTGTCAGTCACACGCTACTATCTTAGACCCAAGATCATCTATGATGGGGAAAAACTCACAACCCTCCTACAGCGAACACCATAATGAGTGCGATCTTCTGCTTCTTCGATATTTGCAGAGATTTGATGAGTGGTATGGGTATGCAGCAAATGACAATATCCGAGACAATGTTTAAAGCTGCGTTGGAAAACCAGAAAGCCAAGCGGTTCATGCACTTCCCCGTGCCGTCGCCCCAGAAGGCTTGCACGGGGACGCACATGAAGATCGAGCCGAAGACAGTCCAGGCACCGTATACCGCAAGCACCGCCAGCATAGTCTTGCAAATCTTTTGTGTCGTCGGAATCTTGAATACACGCAGATATGAGAAGACTATCGACAGCTTGCAAAGCAACAGGGCTAGATTATAGGTCGGAATTGTCGCCCAGAGACACTGCCGATGTGGAAAATTAGAATCCATCCTTCAAGTACATTCATCCATTGTTCACAACTTACCTGGAAGAATCGGACCAGGTCATCTTCTGCGATGGTAGACATCGGCATGCCCAAGCCATATTTGATTTCTGTGGTACTGTGAGCAACGTTTCTTCGACGTTGACATGCGCCTATTCAAGATACTCACGATGCATGACGACGACACAAAAGCCGATTGAGGCCGCCTAGTCAAAGATCTCAGCTTTCCCATCCCTTTCGCACCTAATAGTTGGTAAACTGAGCTCACCAGTGCGGCAGGCATCAACCAGTCATCGATGCCAACATTCTGCACCACTACAATGCGCGTGTATAAGCGCAGCCCAACGAGGACAAAAGAAAGAGTTGTGAATATTATGCTTGTGACGAAAACAGAGACATTGGGTCCCGCAACCATGTTGTAAACTTACGCGCACGGCGCCACGAGGAATAGCGGACTGATGCTAGAAAGATCGTGAGAAATCAGAAACATGAGAAAAAGGAAACTTTGAATATGAAGCATGAAGAGTCTACTAATTCTCTAAGGCAAGCGCGGCGAAGGGCACTTGGGAAGGATATCATATTGAAAACCATCATCTTCACGGAGCTACTTGCGCAGTTACAGTGCGGCCATATTACCATTACCTGGATCTGTTCCAGGCTGAGATTTCTGCATGAACGGGGGCATTCCAACACTCGAAGGGGGTCTCGTTCCTGAAGAAAGTCGTTCGGGATGTGGGCCCGGATCGTCCCCCGGTTGAAGCCAGGATGAGCCTGCCCCATGCTGCATCAAGGGCAAGTCGCGCCGGGGTCTTCAAGGGATAGCATTCCTTCTTACGGCTATACAACGATGGTACAGCCACGGAGTACTCCTAAATCCCCGCCGCGTATACTACCTTGGCATCGAGGAAGTTGGCCAGCCGTTTTCCAATAAACAGGTTCGGCACAAGCAGAGACTTTAATGGTGCGACAGTTTGTGAAGGAGGGAGGAAAATCAGGTTTCTAGATCCGGATCTTTGGGACTTCTGGAAGGCGTTGGACTATCAGAACTGGACCATCCATGGGCAATAAAGCCGCTGTATAAGCTCTACCAGCCTCCACCGGACGCAAATCTTGATACGCCGACTTAAAGATCTCATATTGGGGATTTCGTGCCAGCAGTCCCCATTCAACTTTTACGGCTTCATCCCTGTGCATGGGAATTTTTCGGTCGAGAATTGCCCTCCGACTCTTGCCAGTCATGCCACATGGACCCTGTCATGAATATCTCGATCTTGATGTGGTAGTCCCGCTATTATTATGAACTGCGCCGTAGATGCTGGCACTAGACTAATGTTGAGGGTTGTTCCGGCCTTCAACCCGTGCTCATATCTTCGGGTTCACCGTCGCCCGAGAGCGCCGAAGGCGATCATACTTCTCTACAAGTACTCTGTAACAGTGACTTGATCCCACTTTAGAGCCTTCAACACCAATACATGTATTCCGCGATCTAACGGCAAAGTTTTACTAATAGTATCATTCGATGCGAATGAGAGGGTTCATTTTCCCCAAAGACTTGAGTTTACACCTCAGGAGGTATCACCATCCGAATCCAGGGAGTTCGTACTCTTTTTATGGAGGTCCAACATCTACCTGCCAATTGCATCTGCCAGGCGTTACTACGATACGCCACAGTACTCCCTGATGCGGCAGTAGTAGTGCTCACCTTCGAATACCCTCAGGGTATCCCGTCCAGAGTAGATGCTACTTTACATATCGTACCGGAGCTGATCCCGTTTCTGCAAGCAATAAAAATCCCTCGAAGCCACGCTGACACATGATGGAACCATGCGTATTCTGCGAGTGTGACCTTTATCTGCCATATCATGGGTGGATCCCTCGGTATAAGTCCGATTAATATTCGCTGTATCGGCGTTAAGGTCAATCTCTCAAACCTCAGAAGTCAACACGGATAATGCTGGTGAGTCCAAAGAATCTTTAGCCCTGGGGCTGGTTAGCTCAATGCTCCCTTCAGAATGTATTCCATTACCCCCTCTTGTATTAATTTGAGCCATTGCTGTTCATTACGGGTTGGGTAAGCGAGTGTGAGCGAAGTTAAGAGACATGGAAGCAGGGGGTGAATCTCGCAACTTGGTTGGTGTCTTCGCGGAGTTCGAAAGATCCCAACCAGGGTCGACCAAAATACCCACTGCCTGGGATACAACCCCAGTCTGAACCTGCAGCGACCCGTCCAACTACTTCGTTGGCCGTAAAGAGATTCGCTTTCCGAGTCACGAATGCCACACCTTCTAGACACATTTTCGGACCCAGTCAAACATGATTTTGCTTCATGGTAATAATTCGACGGATATCCAACGTGCGATAGTCGCCACTTGAAGACTTGAAGTCGAAGCAGTCTTGCTGATCGGCCAAGTCTGGGCAGAAAAAACAAGAGTTTAAAATCTGGGCTTCCCCAGAAGACAGAAATCGACTAGCGAGGATCCCCTGCTCTCGGCATCACTTGGTCCGGGCTTGTCCATCCACTGATCACTCGTCCCTGAGAACACCCGCCGTGTGATCGAACCCAGATGTGATTTCCAATCAGTTGGCAAGCCCAAGATCTCGAAGTCTGTGTGGCATTGTCTGTTCGGACGACCCTTACACTACACGGATGGAAGCGCAACGGCCTGGCCCCTTGAGGCTCGGGTACGAATAGGTATCCGTAGTCGTAAAGGGCTGTGTCAATGATTCATGCCACCCTTGCACCGAGGACTGAACAAGGAGCCACAATGCTACGGCTATGAGGGGCCACTTCCCGACGTAAAGTCCGTTTACGACCAACGAAGCCCTGGTCCCTGTGTCTTCAACCTGCTACCAACAGAAAAAACAAGTATGATCCACATCTCTAACATTGGATATGCTACCTCGTACGATATCTGCAGGAGTTGAGCTGTTGGAACTGGGAAATACAACTCTTCAACAATACGCTGCAGAATTTGATGCAGGATATCGACAAGGTATTGTTGAAAAGTTGTAACCGATATTGCACGAGAGATGGCGTACGCTATACACCAAATGTAGCTCAACGGAGTATTTTCTCTCACGAGGAGCACGCCGTTAGACTCATGCACCATTTTATTAGTTACTTTCTCGAGTCTGATACACCATGGCGCGTGGATGAATGTCCGGAGTTCGCTCCGCACGCCTTGAGGCAACATGTTGGACAGCAAACGTGAACTAATTATGTTGATAGAGCAAGTTTCTTATTACAATATTCTCTAGGTATTATTTGCTGGCTAAGTTCGAGTCTCATTTTATGCGAATTGGGAGCAGGACATCAGCATGAATGTCAGCATAGTGGGTTTACTTCGAGTACAAATCATCCTCCTTTTCAGCCGGAGCGTCGATGTGCATATTGAACTCATTTTCGAGCTCAACGAGGAAGAAAGCAGCTGCCGCCATTGATTAGCTAAATAGAAACAAGGTGTGTAAGCAAAAGGGAACTCACCAATGGCAGCGGCAACTGTAATGGAGCCAGCAGCGATCCAAACGTAACGGAAGCCAAGGCTGTAAGTCTGCAGAAGCGCACCAGCACCCGCCTGGATGATGTCCAGCGTGACTCCCTCAACTTGACTTAATGCCTCGTTATCGTGAGCAACCAGGAGACCGATAAATTGCCCAAGAGACGATTGAGGAAGTCCAAGGGGCAGAACGGCTGCAGCGATATTAGTGGGCATCCTCGAAAGCTGGTCGGTGATGATGGCGTTGTCTATTGAAAGCTCTTGTCAGCAAGTACTTCGCATTGTGTGCGCTCCAGGTGAGGAGGTCTGAACTTACAAATAGCGAGACCGATGGATCCGCCCAGAGACCTCACGCCAATCATCAGACCACTGGTAATGGCAATGAGCTCCGGAGGAGTGGACAGCTGCGCAATCGTGACGAGTGTGCACAAACAGATACCCAGCCCGATACCCAAGAACACGGGGTAGCCCCAGACAGGGTCAGAGGTGCTCGGTGTAGTTGTAGCCATGCACACGAAAAAGATGATCATGGACACAAACGCCACGACGGTAGGCCAGCGGACGTTGCGGGTCGTCGAGCACCACAACCCGGCCAAGACAGCCGAGACGCCGTAGACAATCATGGTAACACCATACCGGAGCCCGGTGCGCAAAGAGTCCGTCTCGTAGAGCACGCCGACCTGGAAAGCAAAGTAGTTGTTGGCCGCGAAGAAGACGAGACCCTCGACAAAAACGCATACCAGCGCAATGGGAAAGTTGCGTCCGTTCCTGAAAAGTCCGTGGTGGAACATGCCGTCCTTCTTGAAGCGCATCTCGTACACGGCCAGAGCCACACAGAGGGCACAGCCGACAACGAAAGGCGCAACGGTGTGGGCGTCAGTCCAGGGATAGGGGTTCTGAGACCACGACAGGCCCATGCAGAAGAGCACCAAGCCCGAGGACAGGAGAGCGTATCCAACCCAGTCGAGCTTCGCGAGCTTCTCCGAGACGCTGAAGCGCGTCTCGTTCGCCGTCTTTGGCGGGTTATACAACGCCAAAACGAGTGCCGTGGCCACGAAGTAGATGGCCGTCGCCATGTACCAGTAATTCCTCACGCCCGCGGCGTTGCCGTTGCGCGTGAGCGCGCCGCCAGCCAGGAGCGCCACAAGGCCTCCCATCGCGGCCGAGAGGTTATCGGCCGCCTGCGCCCAGGGGCGGTAGCGTCGGGGGAGCACCTCGGAGGCAACGGCGTGGAGGAGGGGTTGGGCGCCGTAGGAGCAGCCCGTGATGGTAAAGCCGGCAATGGCCATGCCCATCGTGGATGCGCGGGCGACGACGATGGAGCCGACGACGCCGCAGGCCGTGAGGCCGACGAGGAACCAGCGGCGGCCCCAGTAGTCTGCGGCCTGGGAGACGATGGGGGAGAGAACGACTGTCATGATGGCGATTGTGGAGGTTAGCCATACGCTCTTGTCGCTCTCCCCCAGCACGGCTGCGATGTTTTGGGTTTGCTAGCAGGAGAGGACATGGGTTAGATAACGGTTGAATAAGTGGTTTTTCTTTGCAAAGACGTGGTGAACTACTTACAGCTCCGGCGCCGACAACGTTGATGAGCTGGGCAAAGTAGATGAAGCAAACAGCAAAGACTGTGAGAAAGGTCTTTGCGTGCAAGTGAGGAACCGGCTCATCAGGGCCTTCGA